GCTTAATAACTAAACAGTAATTAGCTCCACAGTTTTGCTACTATACTTATAATAGCCCCCATTAAAGTTATGGGGTTTTTAGGCAGTAATGGCTTACAGAGTAATTAACGAGCACGAGGCTTTTATTACTACCTTTATTTTTAGCCTGTGTTTTACAAGCCTTTTCTGCCAAATACCAAAATCTTAGACAGAGGCTTGTCACGCCGGTCCCCTGCCACGCAGTGAAGAGGAGCGGGGCTGCGTACGGAGCACTTGGAGCTGAGCTGGCCACCAGTGTGGCCAGGGGGAGCCCAGTGCACAGCCCTCGTCCCAGTGTCTGCTGTGTGACTGTAAGGGATGGCTGTAATTGCCCTGTGCCTCAGTTTCCCCACCTGCAATAGGAGGAGGACAGTGCTGCGCTCGCATTGCCGCAGCCGTTCTCTGTGCAAGACGCCTGGCTCAGGTGGGAGAACCTGGGGGTAAATTCAGAAGGGTCCAGCTGGTCCGTGGATTGAGGTGGGATGAGTGGAGGGACCAGCTCTGGCTCGTACTGCTCCCGCAATATTTTTCAGGAGGGATCAGAACCAGTCGCTGTTGCAAAGGTGAAAGAAACCCTGTGTTTACATTTAGGGGATGCTTTGCCCAGGGGGAAAAGCTGTTAGTGAAAAGATACTTTGTATCCTGAGCTATGAATGTTTATTTTCTTTTATGAAGCCTTTGTTGTAGGATTTGGCTATGTTTGTTTGTTGTTTCCTGGCTGTTTTGTAATACAAGTAAGTGTTTTGTGTGTTTGTTTGGGTTTTTGTGTGTGTTTTTCTTACGTCTAGACAATATTTTCACTCCAGTGACTTATGTGTATATACAAATTCAACTCAAGCAATTCTTTAGTTTAACGTGTTCTAAATCACTCCTGTTCCATGTGGGAAAACCAAGGAGTAATGACGCTGGGGCTGATCAGCCCCAAAGGAAGAAAGAAGGTAAAACTGACTATAAACCAGATTGCAGATCAAATCAGTGTTTCCTAGGGTAAGTGTCAGAGCTGACGCCAATTTACTTGATTTAAAAAAAGAACCTTCAGCATTTAATAATCCAGGATTTATTAAAGCTTTTTTATTAGATGAGTGCCCTGTTAATATTGTCATGCCTCGACACCATTGCCCTCTGCCGGAGGATGTGAAATCTCTTTCACCGTGTGGCATAGCCCTTCTGCTTGCAGCATGGCAAATATAGAAAGTCTTTCCAAACTACGCAAAGCACCTTTGTTTAGAAGTATTTTAACCCCAAAATTGCTTATGTTTGAGCTGGTGATTGATGTCTTTTGCCTTGTTTTTCAAAACTGAAAAAAAACACCAACAAAGTATACTTTCTGTAGCAGAAAATAGAGTTTGATCTTTTTAATTAATTGATGTTTAAATTTTTTCCTCCTCCTTCTTTTCCCTGTGGAGGAGGACATAGCAGAAGCCTAAAACTGACAATCTGAACAAAGCCAGTTTTATGTTTTGAAAGTTTTCAGTGGGAAAAGGAGAGTGATACTATGATGGGGCAGGGGTAGAGTGAATGCCTTGACGAGAAGCATCATTTTCCCCAGACCAATTTTTGGCCAGCCTCACTTGTGCCATAAGCAGCAACAAAAAGCATCTTTCGGCTTCGGTAGCAAGGGGTTTTTTGGATGCGGGGCAAGCCCTCTGTCTTGGGCTGTGAAGCTGTGACTTCTCTCACCAGCAGCGTAAGATCGCAGATGACCATGTATTTCCTCGCTGGTGTTGTTCACAGGAGAAAATGGATTTCACCTTTTGCAGCTTTAACACGTGATGGCGAGGTGGGAGCGTGGCTTTGTTACACCGAGAACTGAGACCCTGATTGCGTTGGTGTGTTGGGAGGGAACACACTTGAAATACTTTGTCTGGATCCAGATTTCAGACTGCTCACAGCAGCCCCAAGTGAATTCTTACCGTGTCCTTCAGTCAGGGTCATCAATAAAACCAAATCGCTTCAGGAATTAACAGGAATTCACAGGAATTTGCTGCAGGGCAGAGTACGCGGTGCATCACGGGTGCCGACAGGCAGCTTGGGGTGCAGAAGTGTGGGTCAGCAGCTGGGGGTCAGGCTGTGGTCTGTGGCTCCACGTTCTCCTCCAGCTGACCATCACCACCTGTGATTTGGATCCATACAGCGGGGAGTGCCATCCCTGGGAGCTCTGCTGCCAGCCCGAGCAGAGCTGCAAAGCAAAGTCAACGGCTCTCTGCTAGGGCACAAGTGGGCTGTGTTGGCCCTTGGCAGCTGGAGCACCAAAGTGACAGATGATTGACCAGGGAGCTGCTAAATGCTCTGTAGCAAATTAAAAGGAATCGATCCTGAAGAGACCAATGAGCAAATCATTGGAGCCTGCTCGTTTTTCCCTGTGTTGAAGGGATGGAAATCAGAATAGCACCCCAGCCCAAAGGCGCCCATTCTCCATCACACGAAGCCCAGGGTCAGCCTGTGCTAAGGAAGGATGTTGACAGTTTGAGTCTGGATTGGCAAGAGGCAGGGAAAAGGCATCTTTAAGGTAAGAGCACTGTATTCCAAGGAAGCTGCCCTTGACAAACGGGGCATTTGATGCATGCCAGCCCACTGTGGCAGCTTGCCAAATGCTGGGAATCGACTCCGAGTGGCTCTTTTAGCTTGTCATTTCCTCCCACCCCCTCCCCAGTGGCAGAGTCCTTTTCTTGGTGCTTTTGCGGCGAAGGCACTTTACCAGGCAAGGTGGTCAGTCTTTTCCGAGCTGCACCTTACAGCTCTGCCCTACAGGGATGCTCAAGAGACTTGTTCTGGCTTTATTAGAGGATCCAAAGGATGCCAGCACTCAGTGTCCTCTGCTCAGGCACTGACAGCAACTGCAGGGACAGCAAGGATGAGGCCAGATGCTCTTTCCTGAGGGCACTGTGTTCTTTGGCAATGCTGGGCCAGTGGGATTTCTCTGGCTATGAGAGCTGGACAGGGGTGCAGGAGAAGGCTGATATTTGCTGGAATAATTCCTCCTCTTCCTCCCTGGTTTATTTTGTCTGGATGAGATTGCTTTCTCCACTTCTGAAAAAAATAGAGAAAAATCTGTGTTGCTGAGAGGTGCTTCCTTGAAAGTCTGCAGGGCGTCTGTCCACATACAGCATATTCCTGGGCTGTGAAAAGGATTTTCCTGCTGGTTCCCCATACTTGGCTGCAGGAAACACTGCGTTCCTTGGAACCAGATCTGTTTGGTGGTTGGTTTAGGGCTTTGTTGTTGTTTCCTCTGGAGACCTTTCCAGAAGACTACCTCCCTCTTACCACCCTCACTAGCTGCAGCTTGCCCTGGTCCACCACAACCTCCTTCCATACTGCTGAGTCCTTGCATTTGGTTTGCCAGCATATCTGCCGATGGCATCCCCTTGACGAGGGTCTCCTCAGTGAGACTTTACCTCTGTGCATGGTGCTGGAGGAGGGTGGGTGCATGTGAGGAGGATGGGTCCCCAGCTCTGTAGGTGCTGGCACCGTCATCTCTGGCGTAGGTTTCTGTATGGGAAGTGGCACGTCACTCCCTGGTGAGAGACCTCTGAGTGGGGAACTGCCTGTTTGCTGGAGCTGGCAGGAAATTTTCTGACGAGTTGAGGTTTTGTATGTGTGGAAAAAAAAATGGATTTGCAGAAACTTTTGTTGAGGGATGTTTACATGTACCAACCTATGTTTTCCCTACCCCTGGTTTTCCCTGGTAAATTAATACCTCTGTGATTGAAGCGCTAATTTGAAAGAATTAGATTCTGTCCAGCAACTTGAATATCGCTTGCTTGCTCTTTAAAAGGACAACCCATTGGTTCTTGGAGCCATTTCACTTCAAGTCTCCCACTGGGCTCAGTGCCGGAGGCAGACTGTACAGCCCAGTGGCCAAGGCATGGCCAAGGGCAATTCAGATCAATCTGAATTGGGCTAATCAGGGATTTGAACCTGGATCTCTCCATGGCTGCCCCATGCAACCAAGAAAGAGCAAGCTCTAAGTAGTGTTGAGTCTACAGCCCAGGCTTGAGGAGCTCCCCTCTGATTTAAGGAGATCCGATAGTTTCTAGGGCACCGCAGTGGCAGTGACTGACCAGGCAGCCAGCAGCTGCAGTGGGAGATCAGTGCTTTTCCCTGAGCAGGCTGCTCCCTGCCTTCGACTGCCGTGTTCTCTGGGCTCTCCCTTGTCTGCAATGCAGCCCTTTTAGCGGTGGGATAGTGCGTTTCCCCACATGGGAGCAGTGATACTAAACTGCTACCCATGTTTGCAAACTATCCACCGTATGTGTCCCTGCTAAGTGATGTGCTGTGCTTGCCAAGATACTTGGGCAAAATACAGTCTGCTTAAATCTTGTATGTGCTTGTACTGAATCAAACTAAGCCATTGTGGCAGTTTAATATACTCCTGTCTCAACACCTCTGAGATGGAAGAAATGAACCTGAACAGGCCATCGGAAGCCTGAGTTAAAACTGGCTGCATCGAAGATGCCGGCGGGATGGTCTGAGCTGAGGGGTTTACAATGACGGGCAAAACACAAGGTCACTGGCTTGGCTGGAGCGGTGTTCCCAGGAGCGTTGGTGCAGTCACCCTGAGTGCTCTGCCTGGCAGGGGGAGAGGGTCTGGTGGGACAGAGCGCTTGCCGTTGTGTCAGGCAAGTAATGGTAATGTGGTCCTGATGGTCTCTGCCTCCTCCTAGGGGCTTGGGCCCAGCATGTGGTGGTGTGAGGCTTGGCTGGACTGTGGATGGAGGGTCCTTTTCCACTGGGAGACGGTTCAGACCCTGCGGCACTGAGCAACCTTTGCTTGGCTGAAGCAAGGGTCTTGCTTGATAAGTGGATGCAAAGGAAAGCAAGGCTCTGGAGACCCAGGAGACATCTTCCCCTGGAGGGGTGGGACACGTTTCTGTTGCTCGCTGCCCCAGTTTGCTTTGCTCTTCTTGAAGAGGATTTGCGAACTCTATGGAGCAGTTCCCTAGAACTTTTCTCTGCCTACTCACCTTTGCTCTGTGTTGCAGGTTTCCTTCCAAATGAGTCCCTGAGGTTCCTGCTGGCAGCTCCAGCAGTGTCCTGTAGAAGTGCCCTCCTGCTCCTGGTCCCAGCAGCCGAGGCCCCTCCAAACCTGCTTCTGCAATGGGTGGGTTGTAAGCACTGGTAAGACCTACGAGTCGTGTCACCTTCGCTGCTCTCTCCCTCTCTCGCGTTCTCTCTCACTGTCCTTGTTCCTTCTTGGCCATTTATTTCTATTCTCCATGTGCTCTGCTGTTCTGTCTCTGGGGTTTTCACTGTCAGGTAATGAGGAGCTGTGGGTCCAGTCAGTCTTGGAGATGCCGAAGAGACGAGACATCCTGGCTATCGTGCTGATAGTTCTGCCCTGGACACTACTAATCACCGTCTGGCACCAGAGCACCATTGCTCCACTGCTTGCAGTGCACAAGGGTGAGAGAAATCAAACCAGCCCATGCCAAGTCTGTACATCCCTCCCTCGTCCTCATCTCCTCTCTCATTTCATTTCTCCATGGCAGCCATGCTCATCTCAGCTCCCAGTCCATGCTCATGCAGAAGCCTCCCCACTTCTGCTGTAGGAACAGCCCAGTGCTCATAGGGGTTCTTCAGAGACATCGAACTCCAAGCTGTGGGATATGCTTACTGCACTTGGAGAGCTCTTTGTGGCCCAAATCCAGAATCAGTCAGCGTACTGAAGTAAGATGCTTTTCTTTGTTCCCTGATGACCCATAAGAGAGGAGTCCCTTCCTGCTGGCCTTTGCAGCATTCTGCAGACAAGTTAGTTAAACAGGAAAGCTGGAAAGAAGAGAGCAGGAGAAACAAAGCTGCCACTTGAGACAGCTGTTCTGGGAGACATGAGGCAAGGAGCATTTTTAAGTGTTCTCAGGAAAGCAGCAAACTGGTGCTCTTGCACTTGAAGGAGAAGGCACGAGCCAGCATCTCACCTGAATGTTTGGTGGAGTTACAATGCTATGAGAGTCAGCTTCCATGCTATATGTCACACACAGTGTTGAATATAGCTCTGCCCCAAACCAGATGAATGCAGGAAGTTCTAGGGGATCCTCTCTGGCCAGAAGGGTCCTGGTTTTTATCCTGCTCTTGGTATAGTGGCAATATCCAAGGGCTGTGGGAGCTCTTGGGGGCTGGAAGCAGCTGTGTTGCCTACTGCAGTCTTCATTCTTGGTTCTGCCCTTCTGCTGAGCAGCAGGGCAGGTGGGTCGGCTTGGAAGGCTTGTCTGTGGGGGAGAAGGCCAGCTCATTTTTCCTCTCTGGTCCCTTTCTCTGGGAGATTCTCTCCCCTTCTCATTGTAATGTTCACACCCAACCTCCACAGTTGTTTATCCTTTTGCTGACCAGTCTGATGTGCAGTTTGGATTGTCAGAAGTTCAGAGTGTCCCAGGCAGCTTTGCCTTTCTCCCCAGAGGACTGACAGCCACCCATGAGGCTTTGGGCAGTTCTTAAGGGAAAAATTATTATGATCCCCTCTGGAAGGTGGACAGTGTTTCAGAGGATGAGGGATCTACTGGACTCTAAAACAGGACTTGAAAGGCTACTAAGAACATGCTGTCTGCATACTGTTTTGATTCCTAAAAAGTAGGAGCTGGTTTTCTTGAATCACCACGGACACTGAAGTTACAGCACAGAGACAGTTCTGCTCTGACTCAGTCCTGAACTTACTGATGGCCTTGGCAAGACACTTCCTCTGCCTCTGCTTCCCTGAGCTCCCAGTGGGAAGGAAATGAGTGGTGATAGAGACCAAGCTGAAAGCTCTTGGGAGAAATCGTTTTGTTCTTGTAATGTCTTTCTGAGATCCTTTGGTAGCAGGTGCTGAAAAAGAGATGTGCATCTATACGCTAGTGAGCACGGAACGGCAGTGCTTACACACGCCAAGATTTATAGCTGAGGGTTTGACCTGCAGGGGTTTGCAAACTGTCTCAAGCACTGTCCTGGCTAATTACATTTGTGTCTGTGTCCAATGCGTTTTGCAGATTTATTTTTGTATTGATCCCAGCGTTCTCTGCTCTCAGAGAGCTCTGCTTTGTGACACTGATGTGCTTTGCCTCATATAGGGCCTGATACCACATGTGCAGGACACCTGGTCCCTGTCCCCCTGCATCAGATATACACCCTCTCTCTGTCAGTGCATGGAATACAAGGCCTTCATTCGGTTCAGGACTGGTATCAAAGTCTGTGCTGCTGGAAGAGTAACATGCTATGAAAAAACCATAGGTAGTACCCCGCCGGGTCGGATATAATGCCTGTCTGTTCCTGTTTTTTCTCATCTGAAGTTTCTGGTAGTAGCTGGTTTTGGAAAATCTATGGCTCAAAGTATAGTGTGCCCAGTAGAAAGCAGCTGGCTTATATCCTGAAGGGAGGTACCCCTTTGTCTCTGCCAGTTCCTAAATGTAGACCATGCTGGTCTACAACGGTAGGGAAGTGTGAAAGTCGCAGCCTGGAAAAGCGACAGATGCATTAATTTTTTTTTTTCTTGAGCTGCTTGTGAACATGTCTCTCTTTGCAAGGATTTTGTATGTTTGGATCAGTGTATCCTGTATGTATGCCCTTCATTGTTCACAGCCACTCTACTGAAGGGGCTGTTATGTTCAGAGATGGATAGGGTCTTTTTGAGCAGAGGTTAGTCAGAGGCAGGTGAAAGCCTCCGCAGGAAAAAGCCTACAATTACAGGCTTTAATTTCTACTCTCCATTTCTGGATTTGAAATGTGTCTTTCCCTGCTTCTCCGTGTCCCGTCCCAGCCCTGTCAGGGGAGCAGTGGGGGGAGATCTTCGCTGACTTGGTATTTTCCACCAGTTAGTTCCCTGCCTTCCCCAATCCAGGTGCTCCAGCGCCTGGGTGCAGAGCCGTGAGTCCTGTCCCACTGACCGTGGTGCCCAGAGCACTGGAGCTCTTAGTGAGTGACAGATTGTCAATCCATGTTTGTATTTTCTTTATCTAGATCTCATTGCTGTACAAGCCTGTCTCCTCTGGGTGCTTTCTTAAGTTCTGAGCGCTCAGCTGCAGCATTGTCCTGGGCTCTCAGGCCTTGCTTGGTGCTGGTTAAAAAATTTCTTTTCTCATGTGTGTTTGTCCCTGATTCCTTTATTTATTTGTGTGCTTATTTATTAAAGCCTCCATCTGAGCTTGTTTCCTTTCCTCTGAAACCACGAGGGTGACCTGCTATTAGCAAGCAGCCTGCTGGCTCAGTCGGGGGGTGTTGGAGGCCTGAGTCCATGCGGCTTTTTCTTCTCTCTCGTACCCTTGCTCAGATGATGGTGGTGACTCCCGGCGTGATCTCGCTGCAGGCTTGGATTCCAAGGAATACTGCTTGTCGGACCGGGACATTGTGGAGGTGGTGAGGACAGAATATGTTTATACCCGCCCACCCCCGTGGTCAGACACCCTTCCCACCATCCACGTCATTACACCCACCTACAGCCGGCCGGTACAGAAGGCAGAGCTGACGCGCCTGGCCAACACTCTCCTGCACGTGCCAAACCTGCACTGGATCCTGGTGGAGGACTCTCAGCGGCGCACGCCTCTCATCACCCGGCTGCTGCGGGACACGGGGCTTAACTACACCCACCTCAACGTGGAGACACCGCGCAACTACAAGCTGCGGGGAGACATGAGGGATCCCCGCATTCCCCGGGGCACCATGCAGAGGAACCTTGCCCTGAGATGGCTGAGAGAGACCTTTAACAAGAATAACAGCCAGCCTGGGATTGTTTACTTTGCTGATGATGATAACACCTACAGCCTGGAGCTCTTTGAGGAGGTAAGACTTCCTGTGGGGGACCCCCCAACTGGCCAAACACAGTGGATTAGGACATGAGGTGTAAAAGATGCTGTGTACTGAGCTGAGGAGATGCTGTGTACATCCCCTCCTGAGTTCTGGATCAGTCTTGTCTGTATAGTGGTCCTTCAGCTGTCCTGAAGTTTTCTCCAGGGCTTGGTTACTGCGCTGCAAAGCGTGTGTTTCCCAGAGTCGAAGGCATCCTGTCCGAAGTAACGGGAACGCCAGTTTATCCTGTGGTGTGTGATCAGGAGGCAGATAGTTTTTGCTGGAAGGAAGCTAATGAGGAGCTGCCTTCCCCTGTGGGGAGCCTTGTTAGGACTGGAACATCGTTTGCTGTCTGACATGCCTGTGCCCAAGCACGTGCCTAGCAAAAGAAACCTCAGCCATCCTCCTTCTGTGCCCCACCCTGGAGGAGATTTCCAGCTGATTCCTGACCTGATGTTAACTCACCTTTCTTCTCCACCACCCCTATGCATCGCACTTGACTGTCTGCTAATTCATGTTTGTTCTTCTTTGGGGGGTCCCTGGAGTTTCTCTTCCTTGCTTGCTGTTTGCATTTATTTGCTCTCATCCCAGAGTGTCCACTGGTTAAATTCTGTAGCTGTCAAGAGCCTGGCGCCTGCTCTGCACAGATCCCCAGCTGAGATAGCAGTGCCCTTTCAGAGTTACGCCTGAACGGTGTCAGCACAGCCACGGCGCTCGCAGGACATCTTGTTCAGAGATGCTCCGTGCAGTTGTCTCTGGGCTGCTGCGCACGAGAGGAGCGTGCGTTTGTCAGGGCTTGCTTCTCCTCCCAGAAAAGTAGAGCCCTCCACACGCTGCCTCGGGGAGGGCTGTCTCTCTGCCAGGAGAGGTGTGCAGTGCTCCATTCCAGAGCTCTTCCTCTTGCAGCATCAGGGGACGGATGGTCTCTCATGCTGCCCTAAGCAGGTGGCGGGGCTGAGATCTCACCCTGGAAGTTCGCAGCTCGAGGAACTGTGACAGCAGGCTGAATTTCAGCATGTCCTGACAATCTTGTCAGTCTTGAGAGGGGGAAGGTTCCCATGTGCTTTCCTGTCTTTGCTGTTTGTTCCACTCCTACTGAGGTTCTAAATGAACTCCTGAGCCTTTCCCTGTCTGCAGGTATGCAATGGTCTTGCAGTGCCAGGTACACTGTACCTCACTTGGCTTCCAGCTCAGAAATTACTTGTTCCCTTGCTCTCCTGAGACCAAGCTCTTGCAGCAAGGGACAAGAAAGGAGGATTGCCTCCTTCCCCACCAGTTGCCAGTTTTCATACCAGGAATCTCCTGTTTATTTGCTCCATACGTGACCCCTTTCCCTTCCCCGATGGCTTTCACTTGAGCTTGGATAGCCACAGGAATATAAACACTTTTAAAGCTGAAAGCAAATTCAGACTGAATGTCTTTCTTCCACGGTCCCCTTTGAGGCTGGCTCTGGCAGCATCCTGAGACAGACACTGCACATTAATAAACCAGAAAGGGTTCCTTCGTTCACTCGTGTGCTTTGCTCGTAGAGGCTTCTCCTCTCTGATGTGTAGCTGCAGTTAAGGTCACATGGAGCCAATGAAATGTGCTGTGAAATGCAGAAGACACGCACTATTGTTCCCTGTGGACAGGGGCTGCTGTTAGCATGTGTATAATGCAGAAGGGCAAGTGCCAGAGCTCTTCTGGTCTCGTTTGCAGTAATTAGCAGTGATGAGATTAGCTCTGGGAGATCCTTGATCTAAGAGACTGGGCTGAAAGCAGAACGCGAGGCCGAGCCTGCCAGCAGAGTGGGACAGGGTGCTGGGGGGTGAGCGGGCAAACCGGCATTCAGATCATCTGCGTTGGCAAGTGCAGGCATCTGAAGTGTCCCCTGGTGGCTCCTATTTATTTCTGTTGACTCTACAGGGAGTAGAGGCGTCCAGCGTTGTTCCGCTGGGTAGCAGGAGCAGCTACAAAGCACCATCCTGCATGCTGGGAGTTTCTGGAGAGGCTGCGTTTCTCGGCTGTCCCTGAGATGGTGGGCTACAGCTGCAGTGCCTCACCCTAAAGATGCTTTTAGCCTTACGATGGCTCATAGGTTGAGACTGCAGCTCAAACTCCGTAGCTTTCAGAGAAAGCACTTTCCTTCCTGTATATGCCATTCCTGCATTTCCAGGTGGCCTTGGACAAGGTGCTTCCCTCCTCCATGTCCTGATTTCCCCAGCTGTCCATGTGAAGGACTGATGTCGCACAGCTCTAAAGACCTTTGGACAAAAAACCGCTCATCTCAGTTATGTTTATTATTGGCAGTTTTGTTTTTAGTGCCGAACTCGTGCTCGGTTCCGTGGCTATCCATTACTGTCGCTATCGTTAGTTGCCACTTTCCAAAGCATTTTGATTCTCCAGCCCCAGGATGTGCATCCTTGTCCAGGTGAGTCATGAGCTCTGCAGTTTGCTCCAAGCCACAGAGGGTGCCTGGGAGCATAACCCAGGCTCTTAGCTGTAGGGTTTGTGCTGAAGCTCAGGGGCGTTCGTCTCCTGCAGGACGGTGAGCAGGGTGAAGTCGTTCTGCTGGGTTCCTGGTTTGTGTGTGCCAGTCCTTCCCTGTGCACCCACTGTACCCTTCTCCTTCCTTGCCTCCAGATGCGCAGCACCAGAAAGGTGTCGGTGTGGCCAGTAGCCTTCGTCGGCGGGCTCCCAAAGTGAACGCTGCAGGGAAGGTCTACGGCTGGAAAACCGTCTTCGACCCCCATCGCCCCTTTGCTATAGACATGGCGGGGTTTGCTGTGAACCTCAGACTGATTCTTCAGCGATCTCAGGCTTACTTCAAACTACGAGGAGTGAAGGGAGGCTACCAAGAGAGCAGCCTGCTCCGGGAGCTAGTCACCTTGAATGACCTTGAGCCGAAAGCTGCCAATTGCACTAAGGTATGGTCTCTTTCTCATCCATGGGTTGTAAGGATCCAGAGGTAGGAGAAAGCTTGTTCAGCCCCATCATTCAGTCATTTGTCCTCTGCGGTTGAAGAGAGCACACCCCTGTTGCGAGGGAGCTGGGAGTGGACCATATGTACTAAAATGTGTGGATGACAGGTATCTTTTTTGGTTGCAGGCTGATAGCAGTTGCCATAGGCCTTGGAATGTGGAGCCTTGTCTCTCCCACAACTATTCCTCCTTCTTATATTACCTCTAGAAAATATCCTTGTTATTTTCAAGATGGGCTTACCTGTGCCCTTGCTTATCCTCTGGGGCAGGGAACTCTGTAAGTGAAATGTAGTCGGTTGCTTTACGTGAGTTCCTGAGGGGGGCTTTTGAGTACTGGTCCTCCTCTGATAAGCCAGCATCACATGAGGGTTGGCCCTCTGGAACCATCTGAAGTGTAACCTAGGAGTACCAGCCACGGTGTTTCCTGGCTGCAGGGAAAGACTGTTCACGCAATCACTGCCTTTCTGCGAAGTTGCCTTCTCCCTCTTGACATCTATGCAGTATCGCTGTAGTTGTCCACAAAAACCTGCATTTTTTTTGTCAGAGATAATGTAGAAATGTTTTAATGCTCTGAGTTCTAGGAGGCTTCCAAGAAACTTCGTTTTGGGGAGATTTTACTGCTGTCAAATGACTGCTGATTATTTCACTGTACACGTTGCCTAGGAGCCACCAGGTCATGGAGCAGGACCCCTATGTGCTAAATAACATAGAAACTCAGAACACAGTGATGTTTCCTGCCCTAAAGACTTCCCAGTCTAAGATGAGAGACAACAGATGGATATCTGTCTGGAATGACAGGGGAGCATGCGAGATACAATGAGACAATGCTGGTTAGTGTGACAGGCATCAATCATAGCACATCAGCAACGGAGGTGCTGCCAAGTGCTTCTGAAAGCTTTGTGAGTGGGTCCACTGAGCACCACAGGTGCGGAGGGGGGGTCCCTGTGACATGACAGACCCCTGTGTAGCACTCTCATACCTTTGTCTGTAACAGGCACCACTCAGTCTGATTTAGGGAGTCCTTATTGCTTAATGATCCCAGGAGGATTATTCTTTTTTTGCAAATAAGCTGTTACTGCCGACAGACCCAGTGTTGGATCCAGGTCTCTATCCCTTTTGGGGATAGGAAAACATTTTGAATAATACCGTTTGTCTCTGTCTTCCATCTGCACGGCTCCACAGCCCCCAGCCACAGAAAAACAAAGATCTCAATGTTCAGCAGTGCTCAGGCAAGGAGTCCAGGAATAAGGAACAGGAGCTGAGGAGGAGGAGCAACTTTGTTTATTATCAGATACCTGCTGTGCCTCATATTTTAGATCTACACGTCTGTGGTTATGGCTGTCCAGCACTGGGATAAATATCACAGATGGTCTCCCAAGGGTGGGAAAAGGGATTGAACTAAAATTAGATCTCTGTTCTTGGGCACTGCATGCCCTACTAGCTAACAAGAAAGCACTGGCTGGAAATAAGTGTGTTTCCAACAGGCCAAGGGAGATGCACAGGTTGCTTTTAGTCAGGTGTACAGAAGATTAGGGGTGTTTACTCCATGGCCAGTTATGCAATCTTTGCTATATTGTCCCTGCTGTAAATAACTCTTGGAAAGAAGTTGTGTTAAAAGGCTGGGGATAGGAAGTGACGGTTGTGGAGGAACACATGGAAGAAGGAGAGAAAGGAAAAGGTTGTTTCCAGGCAGGAGGAAAAAAACGTTGCTGTCAGACAGGCTGCCGTGTCAGTGCTGTCACACAAGAGCTGCAGGTCGGAGATGGAGAGGAAGCAGGAATTGCTGGCCAGGATTTGAAGCAGACTGCGTTTCTTTTTTTGGCTAGGCTGCGAGGATCTTACAAGGGTCCTTGTCGTGAACTGAATGCTGTCTGCTCCTGGCAAACTCTGAGTGCAGCTTTGCAGGTTGAGCTTTGCCTTTGTGCTTTTAGCTGATGCCAGCAGCCTCCATTTCCCAATTGCTGTTGTGCTCACCCATTTGATGAGGAGGAGATTCCAGACAAGCAGCAGAGAACGAGAAAAGTGGGCTGTGGTCTGGGATCCTCTTGCCCCAAGATCAAAGCACAGACTTCTTTCTCATTATGCTAGTGTGCTCCCAGCAGTTGTCATGGTTTGCTGCTGTTAAGCATAACCATACTCCTGCTTTGCAATGAGATTTACATTAAAATGATTATGTGCTCAGATACACTTGTTAAGGAGGGATCAGAGAAGTATGTTAGATAAGCAGAGACATCTGTCCTCCAAAAATGCTGCCTTCCCTGCATGCAGTGCTGGTATTTGTAATATTTGTCAGAATTCAGCCCACAAATGCACACTCCTGCGAGAAGCTCAAGCTTTGGCCAAAGACATGGATCCCATTTACTTTCTTTGATTTGAGAACTGCCCAAAATGGATGAAGTCAGTATTAGTTGCCAAGGAGAAAGGAGAGAGTTACCCCTCCTTGTCAGGGGGGAACAGTTGGTTTATACTGGAGTTGTAAGGAAACAAAGCTTTGCAAGCATGCTACGTATCTCTGTGTTCTGCTACTTCTGCATTTCCCCACACACCCCCCCCGAAGCAAATCAGACTCTCTTTGATCCATTGACACAAGATAGAGGTCTGAGATTCTCTATTCTCGTAAGGTAGATGTAACTGGGACATATTCTGCTCCCCATTTTCTATTAACACCTGAGGAAACAAGCCACAGTGTGCTCAACTGGGGAGCCCTTGAAGGAGAGGGACTTTGTGTGGCCCCAGCTATTGAAAAAACCTCAGCGTGGGCCGACACAAGATCACAAAATATGAGGTCATTGGAAATGGAGCGTCTCTCGTTCCAGCTGCTCCTGGAGCCACGTGTTTCTCCAGGAAGATAGGTGTAGGTACGTTTCTCTGGGTGAGGCAGGCTTTTGTGCACTGGGGTGGTCTTGGTAGCAGTTCACTGGGATTGAAGTGGTGGCTAAAAAGTAGTCATTCCTCCTCTCTCCTTATCTCTTGGCTGAGTCAGATCTGAGATGAAATCTGAGGGTTCTCAGCTCGGCGTTTAGGTGGATGTGGTGACAGGGGACGTCTGTCTCTGAGCCGGAGAGGCAGGGCGTGCGTGGAAAGGAATTCCTTGAAAAGGAATCCTTCACTTGCTCCTGATTTTATCCTGCGGTGCTCCATAGGGCAGGCAGGGGAATCAGCTTCACGAGCTCTTGGTGTTCTTTGCCTTTCAGGGGCTGAGCAGCGGGGTGCGGACGGAGCAGATCTGTCCTCTTCTCGTGTGGGTTTATGACCAGTGGTTTGCAGTGGACGTTCAGTATCCTGGCTGCTGTGTGACCGTACTTTGTTGGTTAAGTTTCACAGCATGCCAGTGAAGACACCAGTGCTCGAGCTGCTGATTTTTACCACAGACATGCAGAACTTGGGAGGGTTCTTTCGGCTTTGTCCTGATGAACCACCAGAACTGCTGCGCCAATGCCGTCCCCTGTCCCACAGCCAAAAGCTGTAATTTGTATCAGAGAGGTTCAGGTTTTGCAGCACTGCTCCATGGTGGCCCTTCAGATCCGTACTGCAGCTGCAATAGCTCAGATTAGACCACTGTAACCCTTTCTTCTTTTGTGGTCTTGCATGTTTTGCCTGTAATACCCATCACAAAGCACCAATCCTCACGCTGGTGTAATTGCATAGTTGAAGATTACTGTTTGAGCTCTGGCTCATTTAACAGTAGTGGCCACAATTCTCTCAACATATGAGAAAAGCAGGAGTTTTGGGAGAAGAGGGCCTCCACGATGCCTAAGAGAGCCTGCAGAAATTTGGCTTAGCACAAGCTGAGAAGCAGCAAATCTGTCGTTTCAGCTTGGTGTCTCTTTTTCTTCACATTGAGTAGTCTCCATTTTAAATAACAATTATTGAAACCCTCCACAGAGGGTCGGTGTGCTCGAAATCCTGTGACCCCCTCCAACTATAGGTCGACTTGCCTGTTTGCTTTTTAATTTCCTGTTAGCAGACAATGAAGAAGTCTGCCATGGACATGAATCCTTGAAATCTCTTAGGTCTGTTTTGAGTCCTGTGATTCCGAATGGCAAAGCTGTAAATGATGGGAAGTGTTTTGCACTAGTAGAGATTTTTCAAGCGGACTCCCTCAGGTGACCCATATGAAACCACTGTTCAGGGAAAGCCAGATACTTGGTCCCCCCTGACTGTTTACTCCCTTGCAAGCTGTACTTTTTGCACAAGCCAGAGCTTCCCTGAGGCATAAACCAAACGCATTGCTTGGGGAAAAAAAAATCAAGCAATTGGCTGAGAGGAAAAGCAGGTGTTTCTGTACTAAATGGTGATCTCCCTCCCACATTAAAGAACGCAGCATGAAAAACGGTAGAAGCTGCTGTATCAAGTGGCAAACTCTGAAAATTGGTCCATTTTAGTAAATTTAATATAATTGTCTTTTTTGGCACTTGGCTTTAACAATGCAGAAGTGGGATCCGATTTAAAGAAAAGCTAATAACGTGTAGTTGTGGTCTTCTATTTATGGAGTATGTGGTTAGAGTTGCTTAAGCGTGAGTGCTGTTCCTGGCAGAGTGCCGCCCTTGGACATCAGCAAGGTTGAGTGTTTATGTGTCAGAAGTGGAAAGAGCTCTCACCTGCTCCTGCTGGAAAGGAGAATTGGCTGCAGGATTTCTCTAGCACCTGTTCTGCGTTGAGGTTTACATGTTCCGTTTGTTGGATGAGGAGCCCGTCACCGACGCTTGCACAGCACCCAGAGCCACCTGTACAGACCTGCTTGGGTTTGCCTTTTCACACGAAAGGAATGCAGTACTGGCAGCAGGGCTGCTGCAGTGGTCGAGCAGGACTATCACAAAGGCTAACTTTGATGAGTGGGCTCTCAAGTGGTTGTCGGGGAGCTATGAAATGGGTTTTTGGACCCGCTCCAGACAGCTGTTGGTCTCATGCTGCCTTAGCAGGTGAGATTTGAGCCCTGCACAGGAGGTGGCTCCTCACATCAGAGACAAATTTGGTCAAACAGCCTCTTGGGAAAGTGGGGGTGCTCCTGTTTAACCCAAAGGGTTTGAAAAGTGCTTAGTTCATCCTTTAGAAACAGAAAGTGCCCTCCCTTTCCAGAAAAGCAAGGACTGGGTATGGTATGGTTTGCAGATACTTGCATTAAATGTGCAGAGTATTGTCATAGCAACAAGAGGAAAAGCTCTTAAGGTAGGAAATATCAATGCGAACAGGTGAAGGGAAGCAGGAAACCATAGCTCTAAAGGGATAAAGCTGCTCCCAGCAATCCAAGTTCTAGGAGCAAAGCAATAAATGTAATTGAGTCTACTGAGGGGAGAGAGTATCTTAAACAGCTTCCAGAACTGTCTGTGCCAACAGTATAGCACAGCTAGTAGAAACTGTTTACCCATAATACTCCTCCCACAAAAAAAAAATGTTAGGCCACCTCTTCAATTTATATTTTTTCCAGTTCTCCTCCACAGATACTGATCTATATCAAACATTGCTGCTAAGACTAAGGGAAGCTTTTAGTAGAAGCTTCAGTTCTTGTTTTAAGCAAGTTGGAGAGGGGCTTTAAAGTGATACAAGGTATTGTACCTGGTACAGAATAGTGGATGGCAGCGTGAGGCCAGCATTTCAAAGGAAATGTGTACAGGGCTTTTGAGGTGATGTGGTAGACTAATGCCTGCTGGGCTATGAAAGGGCTGTGTACAGCCCAGAGCATCTGGGGGCAAGGGTGTGTTCCGTGACTGGCTCCTGCATCTTGCAGCTCTGAGACAGCAGAGGTTGGAGCAGAGAATCAGAGCAGCAGTAAGTACTTCTCAGATCAGGGTCACTCTCACATCTTTTAAGGTCTTAAAAGAATTTAAAAGTCAAAAAGAAGTGATAGGGAGGTTAGAGAGCAGACTAATGTTTTCCCTTCAATAATGGATTTTCAGAGACACGCTGAAAAATCCATTTTAATATCTCACACAAGCAAAGGCAATGGTGACGACTGGAGCAGCTGGTGGAACTGAGTATAACTGCCTCTTCCCTCTAATGCATGAGTCACGATGTGTCCTGAAGTGGCAAGAATTTGCATTTCCACTCTGAGCCTAGCAAATAACTCCACACTGGTCAAGGATGTCGTAACATGATAACCAAGAACCAGAGTAAGGAACTTGGTCTATGGGGAAATGTGCTCGTGATTCTCCAGTTCTCCGATTGTGAAGGAACTGCCTTACATCTTTGAAAAGGCTGATGAGCCTTTGGAGGAGGATGGTTGATAACTACATGGAAGGAGCAGGTTAATGTCCCAAGACAGTATACTGTAAAATGGGTAATTTCTGTGCACTGTGCATTTTGGATAGCAGTAGGCCTGCCTAAATGAAGTTTTATGCAAACCTCCTATCAGCTGTGAATGCGCCATTAGGCTCCAGGGTAGATGGTTAAATTGCACTATTGATTTAATGTGCAAGAATATTTGTTAGTGCAGTGAAGAGGTGCGGCTAATGACTTCTGTTGGCTTCTTCAGATTTTAGTCTGGCATACGAGGACAGAAAAGCCTGTGCTGGTAAACGAGGGGAAGAAAGGATTCACAGATCCCAACGTGGAAATCTGACTGTGCATGGTTGAGCGGAGACCAACACCAGGTAAGAGCTCACGTTTTTGAACAGTAATGAGAGAAGCAACAGTAAAAAGGGAATATACTAGACAATGACAGGAAAAAGACAAGAGCTCTTTAAAATCTGCTTTTTAATTTCCGTTTTTCACATCTCTCACCTTCTGTTACTGCCAAACTTCTTGAGACTGTTAGTTAATCTCTCTTTGTTTTAATCTTTAAGACAAGCTGCTAAAGGAAATACCTGGTGAGAGGCTGGGGAGAAGAAGAGAAATCCAGGGAGTGACAGTTTAGGCAGAAGCTACATTATTAAAAACCCAAACTCTTGTCTAAACAAGAAGATTGCCTTATTAACTGTATTACTGTAGCCAAAGCACAAGAGTGAAGGATGTGGATTCATCCACCTGCAAACACCTGGGGAAAGCTAAAGCAATATCAGTGAAAGCATTTTTAAGTCAGGCAGAAGCTTTCACTGGGGGAAGAGTTTAATTTATATCCACATCAAAGCCACACAAAATCAGTGACAAGTAGGGGAGGGTGTGGATTAAACCCCCCACGAGGTGTGTGTTTACCTAAGGTGAGCACGTAGTGTCTTCTTCGGTGGAAAGGAGAACACACACGTTGATGGCTGACTTCCTGCTCCTTTGTTCATGCCCTGGCTTCTCACCTTTAATTACCTGAGCACCCTGGTGCATTTAGTCTTCTGTGTTTCCAGAGTGCAGTCTGCAGTTGGTTTGCTAGAGTGAAGGACGGGCTACTCGCTTGTATCTGCGTACAGACTATGACGCTGCGTTTCATTTTTATGAGTTAAAAATTAAATGCACAACTCCCTTTAACTGGAGTGTAGGATCAGGCCTGGAGGGGAGTAAAGGTTGCTGCTTGTTCCCTTTTCCTCTTGAATACAGAGAAGTAAGAGCAGCAAAGCAAAGGGGTAGATTTGCTCAGCAGCGGTGTATTTTTAACAGCAATGAGCTCCCTTGTAGCACATTCCCTCAGGCCAACTGGATGGAGCCCTGCCTGCTGCAGTGGCCTGCCTGTGCAGCCCGTTGGCAGGACAGCAGAGGAAAGCCTGCACTGCATATTATCTGTGCTATATATAGCAGCTTTGCAGAGAGGCCATAGCTCTTCGGCGCTGTCACGACTGCTTTTCACCAACACCCAGTTGCCTAGCAGCAGTGCTCACAGATCTGCAATCTGAGATGGGTTTTGGGATAGTTCCAAGGGGTGGCAGCTAACTGCAGTGAGGCAGAAGGGTAATATACATGCTGGTTGTGTCTCTGTTGCAGAAGATTTCTTCATGCACAGCCTGCAAGGTTCCTCTCCACCGCATACAACCAGCCAGACGTGCAGCAGCCAGGACCTCTGCTGACTTCCAAGAGTTTTAGCGTACTGAAAACAAGCAACACTGCATACATAAACTACCCGGATTCCCCTGCCCTTCCTCCTGGACTCTGAGCAGAACCAGACGCTCTGGAGGTGGAGAAAAAGCACAGAAAATATAGGACTGACGTCAGCTTCAGTACAAGAGCAGCTGCCTCGCGGGATGCTGGGTTTGGGAGAGGTGCATGCAGGGCACGACGCACTGACGATGCGCCCCAGCTGGAATGGTAGTCTAGACTGAGGGGGCTGTTTTACAAGACCTGAAGGCGAGGGTGAGAATGCCCACAGGAGTGTGTTGGCCCCTGATGACTCGTTTTTCCTGAGACACACGTACCTTGTGGCTATGTGTGCAACAGCCTAAGCAGCTCTCTGTTCATGGAGGGGAAAGCTGCCTTCCGAGATGGCACCTTAGCCCTTAATTTTAAACCTGCTTTAATCAGTGTTTATCACATGGCACAAGACAGAAAGGTTTTGGGGGAGGGTGAAAAGCAAGGCAGGTTAGAACAAAACCATTAAGTATCCCTGTTCTCTTTGTATTCCCTCTTCTTTCCCTTCATCAGTTTCACGGTTTGGAGGGCACTCTGACATACCTCTGTGTTCCTGGATGGAGTTATGTTTACAGCATGTGGTTCTCTATTCATCCATGCTAAAATAATTGGAAGTGGGTTTTAGTGAGACTGTTGTGGCCGTACACCATAACACTTCATCCAGGCTCAGATCTTGGTTCTGTTTAGCTCCAGTTTGGTTCACATGAGCATTAGGTGTGGGATTCTCTGAAGGGTGCTCCTACATAAAGCCAAATTTCCACTCTTAAAAAATAAAGTTGACTGCTTAAAACTAGGGATAGAATGATAAAGCTGATTTTAGTGCATTTACCATTCGACTGGAATGTGTCCTTCAGCCCTAGCCCCTTTTTCAGGGCCATGCCGTACTACTGCAGATCTACTGGCATGAAAAGCCATGCTGGAGCAGTTCGAGAGTTAACTTCTGATGGATAGAGCAGCACCCTTGTAAAGGAGATCCTGTGCTTAGTGCTCTGTTTCTTCAGCACCAGGCTTGAGGTAGGTTGAGAAACTATCTACAGAGAACGTTAGCCGCCTCTTCCCTGTTCTGTAACATCAGAGGACCTGAGATAGCAGTGATGAAAGGGTGTTCTCTGATGAAACTGTATTTTGCTTCTCAGTGAGACACAGGACTGAGCAATCCAGAAAAGGAACCTGGGTGCTACTACCTTGGTTGACTCTGATTTTGAGATTGACAAACTTGCTGAGGAAGAAACTGAGGTACAACATACCCCTTCTCCCCACTTCCACCCCTTTAAAAAACCCCAAAGCTTACCTCCCCCTTCATGGTTGTTGTCAAACCTCTGATCAGCCCCCACTGACCCAATTCTTTCAAAAAGGTCTGAAGCACAATTTTACCTCTGAATTGAGGGAAAATGTAATCCTGGAAGTAGACTTGGTTCTTTTTAGCCCTAACATATAGAACCATTCAAACGCGATCGATTTGAACGTTAGCTTCACAGTGCAGAAGTCTCCCCTTGGACTAATGACTTGTGTATGTCGTAATATTTTTTTAAAAATATTTTTTTGTAAGTTATTTTCTCCCAGTGTATATCAAAACCATTGCGGAAAAGCTGCGTTTCTTTAGTTCCCAGTCACAGAAGCCTTGCTACGTAGCCTTTACAAAAATGTTCCTTTAGATGCACTGGCTGAAGCGCTACTTGGATAGGGAGCATTTGATGCTCCTGGCTGCTCTGTGGGAACGGGTATTGTTATCTTGTATTCAAACAGTAGCTCTCTGCACTCAAGCAGATTTATTCTGTTATTGTACTAGTGCCCAAGTTTAATCCAGTCTGCAAACCCGAGAGTGCAAAGAGACATTTTTCAAGGACTACAAAGTTTTCATACCATTTAAATAGTTTCCAACTGATGTCCTCTCCTAGCTGCATGTTTTGTTTCACTAATCTTAATTCCAGTCCCTGCTGGGCTGCAACCTTCCCTCCTTGGAAGGAAATAACTTTCAGAAAAACGCAAAGGAGCGAGTCCTGAACACAACCCTGCAGATACGCTCCACTCTCCTCAAAGTTGGTCACACGAGCGTGGGCTCTTCCAGCTTGCACAGAGGCTACCGTGGTCCTCGGGAGCAGAGATACGTTATGTTCAGTAAGACCAGCTCTGGCCAGGATGGAGTGTATTACAGCTGCTCTGTCTGTTCTTAGTTTTAAACAAACTGTATTTAAATTTGTTAAATAAAATTATGGTTTCTAAGAGCCAGAATACCCCGCAACTCCATTATCAGAGACAGTGCACATGTTTGGTGTTTCTCTCATAGCCTGAATCCTCTGGTTACTGGAACAGAAAGCAGAGGCTGAGGGACTTCTTGGAGATTCTGAACAGATTTGCAGCTTGAATTTGATCTCTTCCTCTCCCTAAAGAGATGGCAGCTCCCCAGTGACTGCGGAGCTGGTGAGTTAAAAAAACATGTAATGTTTTCCTAAATCTTGTGTTTCTGTTTGGAGGGACAAAAAGAAAAAAGAAAATAGGACCCAAGATCCCAAGATTTCACTGCAGGTTTAACTAGAAAGTATGGATGTGCTCTCCCATTTGCCATTATGTATGCAACCCCTTTACTTCTATTCCAAGCAGAATCTGATCCCTGCTCATTTTACAAGGGGGAATTTCATCTTTAGGTGCTTCACAGTGAAAGCAAGGGTGGAGGGAGGACTAGAAGACTAACTTATCCTTTTCTCCTACTGCACCTCCTCCTTGGAAGTTCTCATTCCTGCCTGGCCTGAAACATAATGGTAATATTTCATAGAGGACAAAACACATTTCACTTTTTAAAACTTCTTTTTTCCTTTTTGAGAGAGAGACAACCTCCACAGTGAAACTTTGGGGGAAAAAAGCTCGAATTCAAGTCATTTGACAACCAACTTGGCTTCCAACAAAGTGAATAAGTAATGGCCTCTCTGCAGAGTGAGTTGCTAAATTCTGCCTGGAAGCACAACGAAATGGTTTCCCACACCTGGTTACTCACATGTTCACCAACTATTTTTTTCCTATCTAATTATAAAAACGTGGAGGCCAGTAATAACACATTTTTTAAGTCACTGGAGAGCTGAGCTCAGCTTTCAGTTCAGATGGCTTCAGTTCTTTCTCTCTCTCTCTCTCTCCCCTGCCTCCAGCACCTTTTTACACCCCCACATTCACCAGACGGTCCATAACATCATGTGCAGCCATCCAAGCTGTGGGTCCTCAGCAGTGCAGGGACACGAGCTTCCGTATCCAGCTATGAAACAATGGACTCTGGTTCCTTTAGGGCCCATTCTCTCTTCTGAACTCACTGCCAAAGAGCAAATCCTTTACCTGGGTCTACTGGAAATGAACATGCCCAAGTGCCTGGGCCATCGTGTCCCCAGACATGCAACCAGGAATATTCAAGATGAACCAAATATGGGAAAGCAGCTCTCATCAGTCCACGTACTGGGTCCTTCCTAAATAAGGTATGTCGACAGATTGTATTATCCGCCCTGCAGTGCGTTCTTCAAAAATGACAATCTGCAGAAGAGAAGGATATATAAAGTTCCTTCATACAAAGGCTGAGTTACTTTAACTATTTTTAGGAGGAAAACGCATACGATCACAGCAGGGGAAGGAAGCATCATTTAAAGAGATCAATCATTATGAGTCTGAACAGTAACTGTGATTCTTCTTCAGCACCACATGAGGCAGAAAATGAGCCAGCATCAAATCAGGTTTGTCTTGATTTTGAACTTGATGCAGTGCTTTGAAGTTTAGCTGCCATCCTTGTCATGTCTTAATGGTTGTCAGAGCCATAGTCTGCTTTAGAGCAACACCTTCCCTAATTTTCACAGATCTAAGGAGATAACAGTCTCCTTCCTCTCCATTGCACTGGTTTTCAGCTAGAGATAGGTAATTAATACACTGTATATGTCTAGCTCTTTGGGACATGACTCAGAGCAGTGTCTTTAATAATACAAACATGCAGAGGGAAATCCCACCAAACCCTCTCACCTCATTGCTCCCTTTCCATAACCAGGGGCCAGGAAGGTAGAGTGTTTCCTGAGGTCCAATTTTCCAGTAGCGGCCCAGGTTCTGACCATTGACAAACACAACTCCTTTTTCCCAGCCCTAGAATGCAAGGCAGTACACAGAATGACTGGTGCAGCTGTATTGCCTAGTTAGCATCCCCACAGGAAACCAAGTCTACTTTCACACTTGCGTTCTTTCAGGCCACTTTCTGCAGGTTTTCTGCTTGCTTTCCCTGTGCAACTCCCTGATGCCATGAACATTTAAGTAAGCCCTGTTGAACAGGAGTTATCCTTAACGTACTAATTAAAAGGATAAAGCTTTCAAAAATGTGCGATTCATGATTCATGCTTGTACAGGGAACTTCATCCTTTTGAACAGACATGTCTTTACTTCTTCCCAAGCACAGCATATCTCCCCTCACCTATTTCCCAGGCGATGGAAACACTGTATTGCTACTGACTATCATAATTCACAACAAAGCATAAATGGAAAAGCGAGCAGTACAATAATTATTGGCATGAACCTTGTCTCTAAGGGAATGAAAGCGGAGGAGGAAGTTTAGTAATACTTAATATCTCATCTTAAGTTCTATGCAAAAGCAGCAATCTTCCACAGAAGGAAGATGTGAACGCTAACTCTCATGCCATGTCTACAAAGAAGTGACTCCTTCCACATCACATTGAGGAGGTAGGGATAAAACTAGTGCCTCCTTTATTTTTTGTGCCCACTACTCCTCTGCAACTAGAAAAGAAACGCCAGTTGTATGTCAATAAAATAGACTTAACTGTTCATTAGCAGCTCTGCAAGGTCAGTATTGCACACATTTTCTCATCAGGACCACTACAGACTGAACAGAATTACCTGACAGCTTGAGAAGACTTCTACACCTTCAAAATAATTCTCTTTCTCCAAGCTCAGAGGAAGACTACAAAACCACAGACTACAAGACAGAGCTCAGTCAGAGATTTAGAGTGTCTCTCTAACCAGTTTATAAAAAATCTTGATCAAGGAAAAATAGGGAGGAGAGAAAAATAGGACTTGCCTGTAGCTTCAAGAAAGTGTCCTGTGGTTGATGCTCTATCCACAGCCTTCCACGAAAAAAAGCTGGACCGACAAAGTAATCTGGGACTGCACTCCATCCAGCAACATGTCGCAAGCTGTCAGGGAAGGAAAACACGGCAGGGAAGCACCAGGCAGCACAGAGAGACGCAGCACTGGTCTCAAGATCATTTCAAACCGCTGCTTACAGTGGCGGATGGAGGTTGTCACAACAAGGCTGCTACTTCCTTGCATGCTTGAAATGTCAAACAGCTGCTTTCTAGCGGTAGGGCCTAAAGGTAATATTCTTCATGCTGCAAAGGGATGAAGTGTTTATCTCCTGTAAACATTCGAGGCCAGCACCTAGCTGATCTCTCCCCTCCACTTAAGATAAGTGTACTGGTGGTACATGTCTCAGCCTTCATTATCCTATGCTTGCCACATCCCTGATAGGCCAGTTTCTGATGTAAGAGAAGGCTATCCGGGGCTATCACCATCTCTAATGCTTCACAGCAACGTAAAAATCTCTGCTTCGTGGTGGCTGCCGAAGTGCCCATCCTCTTTCAGATATGACAGTACCATGGTGCAAGCTTTAAATGCACGTGGCTTTTTTTTTCTGCAGGAAAACCTGCAGAATTAGTAGGATTCAAACCAGACATTCCTGCCCGTGTTCCTATCAAAGAACATGAACACATCCTTGCACGTTTGCAGTAATTA